CGTCTGCAAGGATAGACTTTGCGAGTAGTGGAACTTGCTCGGTGAGGCTACAAAGGCTGACAGGGGTTGAAACGAGCCGACACAGCTGGGATGAGGTTGCCAGGTCTGGACAAAACTTGTTCCCCCCCATCACGGCAACGCTTTTGAACGGGAACTGGGACACACAAATCAATAGACACAAATCACCAGATTCCCCATATTTTCAAACGTTTCTGGGTTTCTGCCTTCCCCCCCCACATCCCATATCCTCCAGATCTTCTGGGGAATCGACGACTCATGGTGTCTATGTGTTCTCCCCCTATCCCCCCCCCCAAAGTTTTCAAGCGTTTCTGGGTTTCTGCCTTCCCCCCCCACTTCCCATATCCTCCAGACCTTCTGGGGCATCGACGATTCCTTGTGCCTGTGTGCTCTCCCCCTCCTGAGCCAACCCCCGTGCAGCGATGCCAATCCAGGGGCATATGGCACTGGGGGATATCGGCGGGCGGTCCTCCCGCAGCATCCATCGCCCTCGCCCTGCCCCCCCCCCCCGGGAGAGAAGCGAAGACGCCGGCGCGGGAGAGAAGGAGAATCGGGTCGGGCGAAAGGGGGCGAAAGGGGATAGAAATTCATCAGTCCGAGTCGCTTTCGGTGTTCGGTAACTTTCGCGTCGACCTTCGAAGGCGAGGTCCGGCGTGCGCAGTCAAGCGGCCGTCGTCCCGCCCTGCCGCCGCGTCCAGGCAGTGGACACGGGGCCTCTCGTCGATGGATCGGCGACGGGCCCGCAGTCCCGAAACCGAGGGTCGGGTCGGGCGAAAGGGGGGGATAGCAAAGGGGGGGGGGTTGAGAATCGGCTCACGTAGCTGATTTTCCCGGCGCCTCCCGGCGCCAGAGGCGGCTTATGTATCGAGGAGTTTGCCCCTCGGTGAGGCCGAGATCAGCTGCATGGAGCAGATTTCGTACCCCCCCCTTTCCCAATCCCCCCTTTTCGCCCGGCCCGAGAGAAGGAGGGCGCGGAGGCTGGGGGTGACTACCTACCAGACCACCCCAACCCAACCCGAAGACCCGAACTTCGGGTTGGGGGGGGTACGGGTTCCATACGTGTTTTCTCGATGCTCCCCGACCCCCCCAAACTGGACATGGAGGGCAAATCGAGACCCTCGGGTTGGGTTGGGGTGGTTTGGTGGGTGGTGAGGGGGGTGGAAGGCAACTCCAGGGCTGGAGAAACTATACAGTCGGACTTGATCGGAGAGGATACGCGAGAGGACACACGACCCTTCCGGAGGCCACGTTGCCACAAAAAGGCAGGAGGCATGGGTCGCGAGACACAGGGCACGAGGGTACGCTCGATCTGGCAGGGTCGACCTTCTAACCTGGGCCGACTGTAGAGGGGCTGGCCCCAGCCGCTTGTTCCAGCTTCCATACGCCGCTTGCCACAGCTCCTTCCCCCCGTTGCAGATCTGCTGCCCCCACCCCATGCGGAGGCCGCCGGGTTTTGCAAGGCTTGGACTTCAACCTCCGCCGACAGCAGCAGTGCAACATTGCTGACGGCTGTCACCTTGACGTTCAAAAATTTGCATTGTCTGGGAGAGGCGGCAACTCCTGGAAGGTCTTCGTGTGAACGATCACGTAAGGGCTACGCAAACCCGATGAAGAACAACATATGCCAGATTCGCCCAGATTTACCTACCGTAGTTTAAAGCCTAAGTAGGCCATGTTGAACAATATTGAAAATTATCAAGCGAAATTCTGCCAGACTCAGCCGGTTCTCGACCACGGACATACCAGCGCCGATGCTCGATCGAACCTCCCAGGATGTGCGTCCTGCTCCGTGGTGCAGTAGTCCGAGACCTCCTCAACCTGCGGCTGCTCAGGCGTGCATGATCGGTCAGGCTAGACAAAGTCGGAGATGGACAGAATTCCCTTTAGTAAAACGTGCTTTAGTGAAAACGACCGCGGACCCAAACCTGGCGGGCGCAAGCCTGGAAAATGACGGCCGCGGCGCCCTCTCGAGAACCGAAAACGGACAATTCACTAATCGACGTGTCAGGGTGGGAGGTCTGTCCACCCCCGACAATGGAAAAGGGGGACTTGGTAACGACATCGATCGACTGACATTTTCAACCCCGCGTCATATGTTCACTCTGCCACCTGTCACCAGGAAGCACGCCTGGCTGTATGTCGGGCGTGTCCCCCTACAGGGGGATTTTCGGCGAAAAAAAAAGCATACCCCAAAAATACACCGAAAAGGCAAAAACTACTCAAAACATAGTCCCCTGACTACTTTTGCACTATTTTTTTATTATTTTGGGGGTATTTTTAATTTTTCGTCGAACATCCACCTGTGGGGGGACAGGCCCGACTTAAGCCTGGCTGTCCCGAGCACGCCCACCACAGACCTGCAGCCACACACCGGCAGGAGCCAACGGGAGAATCTCGATCGGGACATGTCTACAATTTTCAAACCGCGGACGCAGATCGCAGCCGACGGGCGCTGAGACCACCCAGCATGCGCACTCTTCCCTCATCCGGTCATCCTCCTCCAACGCCTCATGTTCATCTTCCTCCCTCCCCTCCTCCTCCTCCTCCTCCTCCTCCTCCTCCTCCTCGTCCTCATCGTCACTCTTTTTCCTCATTTTGCCCCTTCTCCTCTTCTTCCTCCCTCGCTGCCCCAATCCCCCTCTCCTGCCCCCCCCTCCTGCTTCTCCTCCTCCTCCTGCTCCTCCTGCTCCTCCTGCTCCTCCTCCTCCTCCTCCTCCTCCTCCTCCTCCTCCCCTCCCCTGGTGTCCAAAATGCCACTCTAGGGGGGGGGGGGAGGAACGAGCTCGTCAACGTACCCCCCGGGCCTCCCTCTGGAGCCCTCAAGAAGCCCGAAGACAGACAAGCAGGGCCTAGACAGAGCCCCGAGACAGTCAACGAGATAGTCATAACGGTCCAGGGGGTAGCCCCACGACGATCCGAGCTGGCTTCAAGATGGCCCACGACAGCCCCAAAGCCCCTTCAGAGGATCGCCGAGAGGGCGCCAAGAGGCCCAAATCATCCCATTCCCTTGGAAAAGTCGCACATGTTCAGCACATTCGCATTTCAAATTGTGACAGCGAGCACGACGGCCCAAGTAGCCCCCAAGATCGTCCCAGGACAGTCCATCATGCCTCAAAGAAAGCCCCAAGACGGCCCAAGAGGGCCCAAAGACAGCTCCAGGCGCCCCCAAGACGGCCCAAGACAGCCCCTGAAGGGTCCCAAGAGGGCTCCAAGAAAGCCCAAGAGGGCGAATACGAATTGAGAATTCGAACAGTTCACACCAAGAAGGCCCCTCGAGCCCCCCAGAGGCCTGCGAGGCCCATCCAAGGGGCTACAAGAGGCCCCCCAGGCCCCCAAGAAGCCCCCCCAAGATGCCCAGACGAGGCCCCCCCCAACCCCCCAGATGCCACCAAGAGCTCCCCAAGATGCCCCAGAGAGTCATCCCAAGAGACCCTCATATTTATCGAGATCTTACGTCCACAGTCGACTCAAACACTCACTCCTTGTGGGGGTCGGCGGACTAGCGTCAGATAGTAGAATCTAAACTCCCAGGAGTTGTGTCCGAGCGTCCATTTCACAGTTATGGTTTCCAAGCTTGTTCTCTCCCACGATATTGTCTCCACATCTTCGCCTGCCCAGTCCGCACACGGTTTTGTGCACACATGATCGTCGCTGGACCTTGTTGTTGCCAGTTCCCCATCAAATCGCTTTCGTCCTTCAAACATGTTGCTCCCAATGAAGTGTTGGCCACGCTTCATGACCAAAGCTTTGCTTCCGTCGTACATAACGGCGTTTTGGCCACAGTCATGGACTACGGATGAGATTCCTTCATCGTCGTCGCCGCCCCTGTCCATTCACCTCCTTACCCTTCTTGCCGGTCTCCTGCTCTTCCAGCTCCTCTCCTCTTCCGTCCTCCTGCTCCTCCTCCCCATCCTGTTGACATTCCCGCTCACCTTCCACCTCCCCCTCCGCTGATGTGCACATCTCCCCCCCCCTTGGCTGCGCATCGGACGAGTCGGGTCAAGTAGGGGACCCACGTCCGCAAGGACACCCGTCGGCGGATAGAGACGACGAACCAAGATAGCGGCAAGGGATGAGGATGCATCTTATGGAGCGATCGCACCTGAAAGCTATACCCTCTCTCCCCCTCTTCCCCCCTCCCTGGCCTTCCCTCCCACCCTCCTTCTGGCCATCGCTCGGACGTCCATTCCCTGTGTTTTGTTCGTTTTCGTGCGTGGCTTTTTCGCCAAATGATCAAGGATGCTCCTCGATGGTCCTCGCCGAAGGAAAAATGCACACGTCCGAGCGATGCCAAGTCTTTCCTCATGGGAAGCCCCCGAGCGACGCACGCGTCCAGCCACGTGCGCTCGCCCTCACGTCTCAAACGCTCGCGCAATGCTCTCTCAACGCCCGTGTGATCTCATTCGCGCGGGCATCCGCGGATCGCCCCTGACCTTTTCGTGTTGCAGCTCCTCCTCCCCCTCCTCCTCCTCCTCCTCCTCCTCCTTCTCCTCCTCCTCATCCTCCCCGCCCTCTCACTCGTCCCCCCACGATGCCTGACACATGGGAGATCGGCACTGGCCGCAAGACCTCGCAAAAACTTGCGGCCGTGGTCTACAGAGGAACGAAAGTATTTCGAACAAGAAACTGCAGGCAACACCTCCGTGTCCCCGGCTCCAGGCCACGGCGGGGCCGCTCGTCAGCTGACTGACTGGCTGACTGTGGCCTTTAATTCCTTGCGGACGCGTGGGCGCCGGATAAAGTTCAGCGCACGTGTCGGGAGCGAAGGGAACCATGTATACAAACAGAGAAACCAGAAAACGGTAGTTCCCAGCCCTCCTGCGTTGGGCTCACGTCTTGGATGCAGCGGAACCCACGCGTCTGCTCATCTCTCCCGCCTCCATCCTCTTGGTCCTTCTGCATGCCCAATGTTTCCCCGCCCCTCCTGCTGTATGGGGGGCTGCGATGTGTAAAAGTGCGGCCACGTTCGACGGCAGCTGGGGGGTCCAGCGGGGTGATGTCCGACGCGGACCGAAACTAGACCTCGCCAGCGAGGTCTAGTTTCGGTCCGCGAAACGGCCGCACGTTCGAAAGCAGCTGGGGGTCCATCGCAACGACGCCCCACGCGGACCTAAAGCAGACCTCGCCGTCCCTCGAAATCCTGGGGGGGGGGATGCGGCGTGCAAGACTGGTTAGTCAAAATTGTTGAAGGGTCAAGCGGGGCGACGTCCTACGAGGGCTTAAACTCGACATTGCCATCTCTGGGGGGGTCCGACCTGCAAAACGGTCGCCGCATTCAAAGGTTGCTGGAGGGTCCACTGGACTGCCGTCCCACGCGGACCTAATCCCGGGGGGGTGCGATTTGCGGAACCGTCGCCACTTCCGAAGGCTGCAAAGGGGGTCCAGCGGAACACCGCCGCACGCGGACCTAGATCAGACATCGCCATTCCTGGGGTGCTGCGGTCCACAAAACCGGCGCCAATTTCGAAATACTCGGGGGGGTCCAACGGAGCGACGTCCCAGGCGGACCTCACTAAATGGGGCGTCGCCATCCTTGAGGATGCGATCTGCGAAACTGTCGCCACTTTCGAAAGCTGCCGGCAACGGGGCCCAGCGGAACACCGCACCGCGCGGACCAACAAGCAAACGACGCCATCCCGTGGGGGGCTTCGATCTGCTAAACGGTCGCCACTTTCGAGGGCTGGTACGGGGGCCACCACAGCGACGCCCCACGCGTACCTACATTCGACCTCGCCGTCTCTGTGCGGCTGCGATCTGCGAAACCGTCGCCAGACCTGCCTGGACTTCGACATCACTGGGGGCTGCGATCTGCGAAACTGTCGTGACGTTCGAAGCCTGCTGGGGCTCCAGCTGAATGCCGTCCACGGGCTGTCACGACCGGACCACGCACTGCGGAGTCATTGCTAACGTTTAGCGCAAGGACGCGGAAGACCTGGACGCCCTTTGGCTACATCTCCTACGCGATCTCCAGGACGACAACGGTGCACAACCTGGTGATGATACGCGACCCCGGCCTGGATCTCCTCTCCCGCGGGCCGCCCGCAGACCCGGCGGAGCGCTTGCGGGCGCTTCGCTCCCGCACCGAACAGGTGCAGGAATGAGGCCGCAGAGCTGGCGGGCGAGCTCGGCCTCGCTCGCTTCTCGCACTCGCTATGAAGGGCTGTTCCTTCGGAGCGCCGAGGCGACGTGGCGTGTACAGCGCCGTCTGTCCAGAATTCCCTACCTAGGCTCTGCCTAGAAGGGTTCTTACTTTCTTAGCTTAGAGGGGCCGGGCAGTGTAAATCGCCCCGGGCGGTTCCCCCAGTCCCCGCCCCGCGGTTCCCCCAGTCGCGCCCCCTGGGTTCACCCAGCTTAGCTTAGCTTCAGCTTAGCTTTAGCTTAGCTTTAGCTTAGCTTTAGCTTAGTTTTAGCTTAGCTTTAGCTTAGCTTCAGCTTAGCTTTAGCTTAGCTCTAGCTTAGCGTCAGCTTAGCTTCAGCTTAGCTTTAGATTAGCTCTAGCTTAGCTTCAGCTTAGCTTTAGCTTAGCTTCAGCGTAGCGTCAGCTTAGCTCTAGCTTAGCTTTAGCTTAGCTCTAGCTTAGCTTAAGCTTAGCTCTAACTTAGCTTTAGCTTAGCTCTAGCTTAGCGTTATTTTAGCTTCAGCATAGCTCTAGCTTAGCTTTAGCTTAGCTCGAGCTTAGCTTTAGCTTAGCTTTAGCTTAGCTTCAGCTTAGCTTCAGCTTAGCTTTAGCTTAGCTCTAGCTTAGCGTCAGCTTAGCTTCAGCTTAGCTTTAGATTAGCTCTAGCTTAGCTTCAGCTTAGCTTTAGCTTAGCTTCAGCTTAGCTTCAGCTTAGCTCTAGCTTAGCTTTAGCTTAGCTTCAGCTTAGCTCTAGCTTAGCTTTAGCTTAGCTCTAGCTTAGCTTTAGCTTAGTGTTAGCTTAGCTTTAGCTTAGCTTTAGCTTAGCCTTAGCTTAGATTTGACTTAGCTTTAACTTAGCTTTAGCTTAGCTTTAGCTTAGCTTTAGCTTAGCTTTAGCTTAGCTTTTCTGTTACTACTAATGCTGTTTTCCTAGGGGCTCCAACTCCTAGGTAGGGTCGCACTGGGATAATGCAATTTAAAGAACATGTCACCCTCCTTTCAGGTGAGTCGTGCAACGCGTGCGTATCCCATGTAGCTTTCGTAACAAGCGACGACGTCTGCGCTCTGGATGTCCATGCTTATCTGGGCCAACGCCTCTGGTCGCATGATGCGAACGATTCGGGCACGCAGCAGGATCATATCACAGAACGGGAGGTGCACAGGACAAGGACCAAGCGGCACAAGCCCCAACTTCGAGAGGTCCGCGCGGATGTGTCGGGGACGGCGCACGAATCCCCCCCTCCCCGGCGCGCGAAACGCGCCAGGGGCGGGTCTGGATGCGGGGCGGAGGGCTATCCAAATCCACATCCACATCTGGGACACCCTCCTCCCCCTCCTCCTCCTACTCCTGGTTCTCCTCCTCC